ACCCCTTCTCCGCCGGGTCGGAGGCCGCCTCCCTCCCTCGCGCCCTCTGTCCTTTTCTAGCGCCCGGTAGCGCAGAGCGGCGGCCGCGCACGCGCACGCCCGCCTGTGTCTACCTTCGGCGCACGCGCGCTCGCTGCCGTCTTTGTTGACCTGCAGCCCTGTGCGCATGTGCAGGCCCGCCTCTCCGCCCTGCCCCGGGGATCTACCGCTGCACCCGCTTGGGTCTTGTCGCCGGAGGTTCTGCTGATTTCGCCGCCCTTGGGGGCTCGGAGTAGGGAACCTCGGTACTTCCTCTTACGGAAGCGCGAATTGCGGCTTGGGGTGGCTCTGTTAGGCGTGGCGTCCTATCTCCCCGTGTCAGTGTTTTATTTCATTTTCTGCCAGTTAGTCTCAGGCAAAAAATGATTGCACTACATGTCAATCCGGGAATTATTATCTGAGAGGCTATCAGTCGGAGAGACAAATGCCAGGTATCCTCCAGCGAAAAATACTAGCTCCGTATAATGAGGTCAGCGACACCAGAGGCTCAAGTAAATCACTAAGCGTTGAGATGCCTTTTCTGCAGGATTGTTTGAATAAGGTAATTGTTAGGTTTTGCACAGTAATCATCCTATAGTTTGTTAAGGAATTTGTACTGTGCTTGTGTGTGCGTGTGTCTCCAAGTCCCTTCCTTTGGGGGACTCCGTACTGTCCCTGTTCCCTGTATTCTAATAAGCTGCAAGCACAGAAGCCGGATCACAACGGTGGAAACAAACACTGGGTCAGTCCTACTCTCCTGAGAACTGACATCTTGGATGGAGGCACGTTGAAATAGAAGCCTCTGTAGCTGGAACTGGGAAGTTGAGGAGTTGGTCGATCAGCTCCTGCTATTGAGATCCCTAGATCTGCTGTGTTCCTGGACAAGTCACCTGAGTAGTAATCGAGTCAATCAACTGTTAGGTCTTTTCTTTTATTTCTGTCTCCCTTTCTCCTTTTCTCTTTCTCCCATCTTTCTGTACCTCTATCTTAAAAAACAAAACAAATTCTTTTTACTCAAGTTAGCCACAGTTGTTTCTTGTTCTCTAAAACGAAGAAATGCTAATACAAAGCTCCCGTTGATTACAGAGTGAGGTTTCCAAAAGCCTCATGAGATCTTGTAAGAATCTCCACATTCGGCCACAACTTTAATTACTCCCTATCAAGACTTTCCTACAGAGTATGATAGGCTAGTGCAAAAATGACTGTACTCTGATTCTCTGTTAATGCTGCCTCTGTGCAGATCGTATACTTTCTACCTTTTTTGTTTGTTTATTGTTTGCTTTTTGTTTGTTTGTTTTTTTTCCCCGGTACCGGGAATCGAACTCACGATCTCGTGCTTGCCAGGCAGGCGCTGTGCCGCTGAGCTAAATCCCCCGCCCCCTTTCTACCTTTTGAATCATCCCATTTCAATTCCTGATGTCCCTCCAGTATACCTGGTTTCTCTTTTGAACCCCATAGCAGTTGTTACGTGAAATCTATTTTAATTATACATGTCATAGAAATAAGATAGATGGAACTTAAATGTTGTACAATTTAAAGAAAAAATAATAAGCATCTAGTTTACTGAATGTAACCAGTCTTTTGAATTCACTGTGAGCCCCTCCCTAATCTTAATTCCTTGACTCCCCTGTAGAGAAGGGCACGGCACTGAATTTTGTGTTAATCGTTTTTATGCCCATCATTTTATTTTTAAAAACTTTCTACAAGTTTTCTTTCCTTTTAAATGTGTATTTGTTAAGTTTACTTTCTTCTGCTGCATTTTTCTTTCTTTTCCTTTTTTTTTGGTTTTTGGAGACCAGGTCTCGCTGTTCAGGCTGTCCTTGAACTCACTTTGTAGCCCAGGCTGGCCTCAAATGCAGCAATCCTCCTGCTTCAACTCCTGACTGCTGAGATTACAGGCGTCTACCACCATGCCCAGCAAGTTTACTTTCTTAATTGGTAACATCCATGTAAAAGTGTTGGGCTTTTGCTATTAAGAAATGGAACAAAAATGGAAGCATTTATTTTATTAAAAGTGTAACTTTGAGCTGGGCGTGGTGGCACATGCCTGTAATCCCAACACTCAGGCACTCAGGAGGCTGAGGCAGGAGGATCATTTGTTTGTTGTTTTTTTTTTTTTTGTCTTTTTGAGACAGGTCCTCGCTATGTGGTTCAGGCTGGCCTTGAGCTCACTTTGTAACCCAGGCTGGTCTTGAACTCACAGGCATCCTCCTGCCTCAGCCTCCCAAGTGCTGGGATTACACGCGTGCGCCACCATGCCCTACGATAATTTCGAGTTGAGACCAGCCTGGGCTACAAAGTGAGTTCAAAGACAGCTTGAACTGTATAGGAAGACCCTGTCTCAAAAAGACCCGCCCCCCCAAAAAAGTGTAAGTTTGCTTTTCTGTTAGATAATGAACAAATCCCTATAACAGCATATTCTGCCAAAGAGAAATAAGAAAAGGAAATAAAAAAAAAAAGATTTTTTCTTTTGCTCTCTTTTACAGATGTAAATGCAATTTGTGCTTGGTATTAAGATTTAGTTCTAAAATATCTCCCCAGGGGCTGGGGATTTAGCTCAGCGGCAAAAGCGCCTGCCTGGCAAGCGCAAAGTCGTGAGTTCGGTTCCGGTACCGGAGAAAAACCAAAAAAAAAAAAAAAAAAAAAAAAAAAATCTCCCCAAATTCTCTTTTTAAAATTTTATTAGTACATGTTTGCAGTTCCTGTAGTTTACAGTCATCTTGGGTAGTGGTTACATGTAGAGATCACAGTTTGTCTTTTCTTTTTTATTCCCCTTCGCTTTTCCTCCGTGCTCCTCCTCCAGTTCCCCTGTCCCGTTTTTCATTCTTGGGGATAATATTAATCTTAGCTCATGTTATGGTATGTAATGTTTACATTAGTGAGGTTGTTAGGTTCCTGTACTTGTATGCCTTTCATTTTAGTGGTGTAATGCATTTATGTAAGAATGTGTTGTATAGCCTTGCCTGGTCTTGACTATATAAATTTAATCTTGTTTTTTTAAATTTTCTTTTCCTTGTGCTTTTTATATGTAATCCTAGTCATAATTTGCTTTTTCTGTCCAATATGTGTGTTTGAAATTCCTCTGTGTTGATTTCTTTTTTGTGATTTTTATTTTTATGAGTCCATGCCTGCAGTACATAATGATCGCGTTCATTGTGGGGAGTTTGTACATTTGGAAAACACATCTCAATTCTTTTTACCTCCTTGTCCCTTTCCCTTCTCCCCTCCCTTATTAATTTCTATAGCTATCGTGCATTTATTTTTCCCTACTATGTAGTATTCCATTGTATTATTTACCACAGTTTATTTATCATTCACTTGTTGATGGATATTTAGTGTAGTGCCAGGTTTGTTTATTTTCCTGCAGTAACTAACTTTTGAAACGGGGGCTTTGTGCCTGCTTAGATAAGCAATCTACCATTGTGCTATTCCCCTAGCCTGGTAACTGTCTTTTTAACTTGGCTGTGATATGGCCCAATAGTACAGAAGTAAAGCTTGCATTTAAACTTCTGCTGTATCACCTTCTGTGATCTTAGCTAGTGATTCAGCTTCTAATATGTTGTGTAATATTTAGAGTAGAGGGCAAGGCCTAGAATCAAGTTGGTGCTTGTTATTTGTTGCATGAAAAATGGTTCTCCCACATATCTTTTACACTAAAATCAACTATTGGCAGGTGCCTAAGCATATTTTTTCCTTTTTCAGGACCACAGTTATCCTGATACCCTGTTTCTTTCACTTACATCATTCTCCTCTTACATGTGCTGTTAAAGACCTTCAAGGCTGTTCTGATATTAACTTCTTGAAAAATCTTTCCTGTGTTACTTCTGACAAAAATTATCCTATTTAAACAAATTTATCCTATTTTTAAAAATTCTTATCACAATGTGATTGTGTTACATGTTGGCTCCTATACTGTACTGCCTGATGAGATAGTTAAACACTTGATCATCTCCTGATACAGATAGTAAACTGATTTTTTTTTTTTTTTTTTTTTTTTTTTGCCTTTTTTGAGACAGGGTCTCGCTTTGCAGTTCAGGCTGGCCTTAAACTCACTGTGTAGTCTAGGCTGGCCTCAAACACCACAATCCTCCTGCCTCAGCGTCTTGAGTGCTGGGATCACAGATGTGCACCACTACGCCCAGCCTAGAATTTTCTTTTACCTCCTAGTCAAATAGGAACCTAGCCATATTTTCTAATCTAAGAAAGCATTTCCCAACCACACCTCGTAGTTATAAAAACCTTAAGTTGGACCTGTGGGCATGTGCCTGTAATCTCAGTAGTACAAGGTTTGGGGCTGGGAGACCACTCCCCCTCCATCCACCTGAAATTGGACAACACCCAGGGCCATTTCTCCTTCGTTGTTCTAGGAAAAAGAGAAACAAAAAGAACAAACCCTCTGAAAATAGCCATCTTGATATCTATGGTTATTCGCCCTCAGGATAGGACACTTACTCTTAATAGGGGTCTTACTAGAGGCTTCAGTGGCATTGTTAGAAAAAAATTTGATTATGTCCAGGATCATTACTATCTAGTTTACAGCTCACCTTGTAATGGTGGGCTAAACTGAACCACTGAACTCTTGAATCTCATCAGTATAGTCTTGGAGCTTGATCCTCCAGCCTCCTGAGTGCTTGGATTACAGGCATACACCACCACGCCCGGCTTACTCCAGTCATCTGTTTGAAGTGCAGATTCCCACCAAGGAAATCCTGACTTACTTGCTGAGGGGAGCAGGCCACATATCCAGCAAGATGTTTGTTGTAACGACTCTACATATCCCTGTGCCCACATTAGAAGGGAACTGCTCTCTCCTTTAAATGGTGATTAGTAAAAGGGCTAAGAGTAACATCTTAGATCACTTATCTGAAGGCTTTGCTTTCTTCTTGAATAAGAACTTTAAGTCTTCTGTCGGTTCACAGGAGTATTCGGATGGTTGCTCACACTCAGGAACAGTCTCTGGTTCCCAGGGCTTGAGTCAAGTGTGATGTATTGAGTCCAGGACTGCTACCTTGACAGCTGATGGAGCTGACAGTATCACGGTGTATCTAGGGCCCAAGTTGGGCCTAGAGAAGGAGATAGTGATGAGGGAAG